CTGAAAACTACACTCGCACGCTAAACATACAAAAACAAGCTATGAGAACAGATGCGACTAAACTAAAGAAAAAAAAAAAGAAAAAAAAAGTGAGAGTAAGCCAGAATAATGCTGGTCTCGTGAGCGAATTGCCGCAGCAACAATAGATGGCGTTGCTTGTCATCGTTCCTACACCACAACAATGGCCGACCCGATGCTGGGCCTTGGGGGGCGGGGGAGAGGGGAGAGAGGAGGGATGAAGGAATGGAAGGAGAGAGTGGCAGGGGGGGAGGGATGGAAGGGAGGAGGAGATGGAGGGAATTAAGAGAAAAATGAGGAATGAAGATAAGACCGAGAATCAGAAAGACAGAAAAACATAAGGTGTTAAACAAACAAACATAAAACAGAAACGGAACAAAGCAAACGTGAACAAAAAGAAAAGAAAAGCAAAGTGAAACAAAAACAAAGGATAATAACCCACGAGGCAAACGACAATGAAAAATGAAAGGCCTAATGATACCAAAAAGTACCGGAAGAAGCAGAATTTTCGGCCATTTTTCTTTTTTTCAAGTAGGCCTACCCGCGTCCAACCGCCTCCGGGCCCAGGGGGTATGACGTCGCCGACTCACGCTGGGTCAAAGGTCAAACTGGAAGACCAAGAGAGATTCGAGGGTGGAGGGTGGTAGGGGAGGGGGAGCTAGGAGGGAAGGAAGAGAAAAGGGATTAAGGAAAGGAAGGGAAAGAGGGAGAAAAGAAGGGGGAGATGAATAAAGCTTATGGAAAGGAGGAAGAGAGAAACTGAAGATTGGAATAAATAAAGGAATTGGCGGAGGATGACGAGAATATGTAAAGACAAAGAAAGAGAAATAATGATGATATTGGAAGGAGCGAAGATGAGATGAATGATGTCAATGATGATTTGATGATGATGATAAAGATAATGATGAATGATGATTGATGGTGATATGATGATGATAAAGATGGACTATGACGATTGATGATTATTCATGATTTGATGGATGGATAATGATGATGATGATGGTATGATGATGATTTGACCAGACAACTTTTGACCGATAAGAAAGACAATTTTGATGATTTTGATTCGAACAAAGTTGAAAGAAGAGTAAGAAGTAGTAAGCAAAGAAGAAAAGAAGAAATAAGGAAGAAAAAAATCAAGAACGAAGCAGGAAATAAGAGAAAAATTCAATAAATATATATAGAGAGAAGCAAGAAGATTATCATGCTTGATAAAGGTCAACCCAAACCCGAAAATGACACGTGACAAACATGACAGCTAGTGTTAACAATGGCTCAGCCCAGCACCTTGAGCTCGCGTTGCCCCAAACCGCCTGGGAAGGAAATTGGTCGGAGTCTTCTGTCCGCCATTTTTATTCGTGTTTTTTTTTTTCTTTGTTGTTGTTGTTGTTGTTGTTAGTTAGTTTTGGTCTATGTCTCCTCTCTGCATTTTATTTGTTACTCTCTCTCTCTCTCTTTGCTTATACGAATATGTGTTTTTCTTTTTCTTACGTCTTCTGCCGCCCATTTTCCTTAAATTTGCTATATTATATTAATTAATTAATAGTTATGAAGCGATAATTTATTATAATATTATAATAATATATGTATAATATAATATAAATGATAATGATAATAATAATATCATCCTACTATCATTATTACTATTATTGTAATAATTCTAATTATGATAATTATTATCATTATTTTTATTTTTGTCTAAGTCTCCTGTCGCCCATTTTCCTTTCCTTTACTTTCACTTTCATTTTCTTTTTCGTGGGAGAGGAACGGGAGGGGTGACTCAAGCAAACTTACTACCAAATAAGCTTTGTATACACAACGGCCTTGTCACTTGATGTCTTGAACACCTGCCACTCATGAATGCATGAAAAGACTGATGTTTGTTGACACTAGTGATGATAACAGGTGATGATAACCGATGATAGCAATGTTCAAAATGTTATATATAAAGATAATGATAACATTATTTATGAGAGTTGTAATGAAAGAAAGAAAGTGGTGGGGGAGGAGGAAGACAGGAAAATGATGATAATGATAGTCACAAAACTATAAATAAAAAGCACTCCTGCATATGAAACGCGTTGAGAATACAACCACCAATAACAATATTAAAATGATCAGCAATAATAATTAGAATAAAACGTAAAAGTAATTGAAATCAGAAAAAAACAAAAGCAGCATGAGCATCGGAGCCTTTTATAAGATAAAGACTAAATTTATAGATAAACAGATGAACGGGGGGGGGGGGGGGGGGCTGGGAAATTCTGGCAATTTTGACGACTTTTTGAAGGCTGAAGTATCTGGGGAAGTAATGATAAGGTGCTGCAGTTTTATTGGTTTCTGATGAGTGCGTCTCTGTTTCTCTGTATTTACTCTGTCTGTTTCTGTCTGTCTGCCTGCCTGTCTGTCTGTTTCTCTCTTTCGTTTTCTCTCTCTCTCTCTCTCTTTCTTTCTCTCTCTATCATACACACACACACACGCACGCACGCACGCACGCACGCACGCACGCACACACACACACACACACACACACACACACCACACACACACACACACACACACACACACACACACACACACACACACACACACACACACACACACACACACACAGGGTCGTCCCGCCAATAATACATTTTCTCCTTCACAGCTCAGCAGGAAGTGTTCAAATATTGTACATTCCAGAAACATTTCGCAGGCGACTGTGATGACAAGAGGTGTGGAGATTTCTAAAGGAGCAATATGTGTTTTCTCTTAGTTAATGATAATGAATTAGCGTAATAATGATGATAATGATAGTAATTATGATGATAATGATGATTATGATAACAATGATAATGATAATAGTAATTGTAATCATAATGATATCAAAAGTAATAATAAATGATTTATGATAATGATAACTATGATGATAATAATAATAGTAATAATAATAATGATAATAATAATACTGATAATAGTAATGATATTGATTATGATAGTAATTATGATAATTATAATAATGATGATGACAATTATGATGATGATAGCAATAATGATAATACTAGCAATAACCTGAGGAGGAAAAGGACGATAAGAATAATGATGATGATGATATGACATAATGACACTGACGACACAACGATGTAACACTAAAAACAATGATGATGATAATGAATGAATAAATCAGAATCACTGACCTAATGTGCTGTCAATAAGGTCAACTCAGAGTAAAAAAAAAAACACCGTCTTGATTGTTTTTAATGTAGGAAAAAATGGTAATTATATAACTACTCTCCTGTAAGTATTATTTCGTCACTACTTACTACATGTCATTCAGTCACTGATAACTATACTCCTAGCGCTACAACCAGTAGTAATGTTGGTATTACTACTGCTAGTACTTCCACACACTTACCAATACCTAATATCACTTATGAATGTCTCAGCTCACTTATGAATGCCTAACATCACTTATAAATGTCTAAAATCACTTACAAGAACCTAAAATAAGTTAGAGTTATATATTCACTTACAAGAACCTAGAATTACTTATAAATGTCTAAACCCACTTACGAATGCCTAAAATCACTTAGAGGTATCTAAACCCACTTGTGAATACCTAAAATCACTTATGAATATCTAAACTCGCTTATGAATACCTAAAATCACTTATAAACCTCTAAACTCACTTATGAATACCCAAAATCACTAATGAATATCTAAACTCACTTATGAACACCTAAAATCACTTATAAACCTCTAAACTCACTTATGAATACCCAAAATCACTAATAAATATCTAAACTCACTTATGAACACCTAAAATCACTGGTCTAAAATCACCTATGATTACCTAAAATCATTAATGTCTAAAATCACCTAAAAATCATCAAAATCACTAACGATTATATAAAATCACTTACACATATTTGAAATGAATTACAAATAAACCAAAATCACTTACAGATCCCTTGAATCGCAAAGAAAAATACTTAGTTCAAACAGGAATGACATTGCTCAATCGTTGCAAAAAAAGCTTTGCGGAAATTACGTGAATTTCCCGTCTAACCTGTTTTTTATCGTCTTCTTTACGGTCTGCAAAGCGCATTCGGTGATTTAAAGTCTCGTCGATTTTTGTTTTCTATTCAGGATGTTTCCATGTGAATATTATAATGCGACCTGAATATGTATAATCAAGATTTAATCAGTGTTGAATTCAGGGAATCAATATTGTTCACAGTAATCACAGAAATGAGGTGACGCTTTATGATAATGTTTGTGACTTTTATTGCCAACTTGTGACAATTTTTGTAACTGAAGGTCAACCGTTTGTGTGTGGGGGGGGGGGGGGGGGGGGGGTGCGCGTGCATGCGTATGTATGTTTGCATACATGTGCGTACGTGTTTATTCGTGTGCTTACGTATTTATGCGTGTGCGTACGTGTGTATGGGCGTGTATGCGTGTTCGTGCGTGCGTGTGAGAAGACAGGAAGGACCAAGATTTGCTGATAAAAAGAATATTTTATCTCACCATTTTCCTCTTACGAATGAAGAAAAAAATGATTAGATAAATCTAGAATCATACATCAATGAATATATAATGTAATTTTAAACATAAATTCCGATCGATATATTTTTTCCATTGATTAGAATACAGATAAATAGATAGACAGGTAGATACATGGGTGAATGACATGAAATTGACTAATGCATAATAAAAGGAATTGATTATTGCACGAACATTCACATAAACGAAACCAAAATAATGAATAAAATTATATATAAAATTTAGCAATTGTAAGGTGAAATCATTCGTCTATATCTTTATTTTTACTACATTTGCCACAATGAACAATTCACTTGCAGAAAATAATAGATAGACGTCTAGGTCAATGTACAATTACACAAATAAATAAAAAATAAATAAATGAAAATGGTCAAGGGTTAACACGCAAGCACGCAAGTGCAAAGACCACTTTAATAACTCTTCGCCCCTTGCAGGCTGTAATGCTCTCTCGGACGCCGCCCTCGCCAAGATGACAACCAAACTCCTGCAGGCGCTGACGGTCCTGCTCGCCCTCCTGTGCACGGCGGTTTGCACGGACCCGGTCTCCTCCTCTTCCTCCACGTCGTCCTCCTCGACCTCCGCCTCCTTGACCTCCGCCTCCTTGACCTCCTCCTCGACCTCCGCTTCGACCTCCGCCTCCTTGACCTCCTCCTCGACCTCCGCCTCCTTGATCTCCTCCTCGACCTCCACCTCCTCTCCCACGACAGCCTCCAGCGGAGATAAAGCCGCGGGAAGGCCGCTCACCGGATGCCACTTCCACCGGCTGGACCAGATGGCCAGCTGCCGAGGCCTGAACGCGTCGCAGCTGGCGGAGGCGCTGACGGAGTATGGAGAGCGGGCGAAGGAGGCTGAGGTCTCTCTCGAGGGGAACGGAACCAGGTGAGTGGGACTCGAGGCGCAAATTGCCTTTTTTTACTCCTTCCAACCGCTCGTTAGGTGTTAATGGCGATGATGTGTGTTGTAAATCACCTTTTTTGGCCGGTTATTGCCTAATGACTGCTTATCATGTGTTGATGGCGCCTGTGAATGCTATGAATTGTCTTTTCCTGCGAAGCGCTTCTGTATCCCAAATGTGTGGTTCTTATTTTCATCTTGTTTAGTCCTTATTTTTACCATGTTTTCTTATTCTCTTCTTTCCCTCTTCCAGCATTGTTAAATGTAGTTTTTTTTTAACCCCTTGCTAGGTGTTTTCATTCAATGCGTCTTCGTGTTATGTTAAACACCGTCCGTTATATGCCAATAATGCTTTAAAATTATTTTTGACATATCTTTTATGACAATAACATTATCCAAACGCTTGTTTCTACTTATGAAAGATTACAAAATATATATTTTTTTTATGTATCAACTCTACGGAAAAAATATATACAATATATATATATATATATATATATATATATATATATATATATATATACACACACACATTAAATCGTAATGATAATAGATAAATGTATCCTATTGACTTACGATGACTTATGTATACGGTTGATTTGTCATCCATACTAGGATTACTCATTAGTTATTCTTAGACAAATTCTAAAGAAAAGCCAAAATACCAATATGACCTTGAATGAATGACACACTTCCTTCTCAGTTTACAACTCGCTTTATACCTTGCTATCTCTTGTTTTTTATTTTTTTCCCGTATCGTTGCTACCCCCCCCTTTCTCTCTTTTTTTGTTTTTTTTTCTCTCTCTTTTTTCTTCTTCTTCTTTTTTTTTTGTAATCATATTCGCGAATCTCGACCTTAATCCCCCAGCCCGGGGCATACACTACTCACCTACCGGCGTCTGGAGGGTATGCGTGAGTATTATTCCGCCGGCTGCTCAACGCACTGACTCTTCCGACCTTGATTCCCAGGCAGGAGACGGACGCCGCGCCCTCGCCGCACCTCCGGGAACTGTCCCTGTTCTACTGCCGGATCCCCAAGCTGACGGGGGAAGCCCTAGGACCTCCTGACGGGGGTTCGCTGGAGATCATCAGCATCGTCAGCTCAGGCGTGGAAGAGGTGCTGCCCGATGCCCTGGCCGCCCACGCTCGCACCCTCACGCGTCTGGTGCTCGCCCACAACCTCCTCGCGGGCGTGCCGGAGGCGGTGGCCAACCTGACGAGGCTGGAGGTGCTGGATCTCCGCCATAACCGAATCAACCACCTTCCTGAGGGAACGCTGCTCTTCAACCTCCATCGCCTTCGTCAGTTGCATCTCGATCACAATCTGCTTGGCCAGGTAAGGAAGGGAGAGGGAAAGGGAGAGGGGGAGAGGAAGAGAGGGAGGAGAGGGGAGGAAGGAAGAGAGGGAGGGAGAGGGAAAGGGAGAGGGGGAGGAAGGAAGAGAGGGAAGGAGAGAGAGAGTGGAAGAGAGAGAGGGTGTGGAAGAGATAGATAGATAGAAGAAGAGATAGATAGAAGGAAAGAGAAAGAGAGGGGGATGGAGAGAGAGAGAGAGAGAGAGAAGGTAGAATATAAGAGAGAGAGAAGGTAGAATATAAGAGAGAGAGAAGAGAATATAAGAGAGAGAGATAGAGAGGGTAGAATATAAGAGAGAGAGAGAGAGAGAGAGGTAGAATATAAGAGAGAGGGAGAGAGAGAGGGGGGTAGAATATAAGAGAGGGGGGTAGAATATATAAAAAAGATAGAGAGAAGGAAAGAAAAGAGAATATAAGAAAGAGAGAGAGAGAGAGAAAGAGCGAGAGATAAGAACATAAAGAAAAAGAACGATATAATAGTACAGTACTCAATCTCCATCACAGAAACCTCATATAAATACCTTAAGAAATAAAGAATACCATAAATAAATAAACAATCAGATAAGTAAATAAACAAAACCATAAATAAACAAATAAATCACCATCCTTTAATTTCACCCCCCAAAAAAATCGCCTCCACTATACTCCATTGCATCTTAACTTCCCCTCCTCTCCACAGATCGCAGACACTCAGACTCGACTCGGCATCTCCTCCTCGGGTCTGAGTCTGACGGTGTTCAACCTCGAGCCCTTGAGAACCTCCCTCAGGCACCTGACCCTCGCCCACAATGCCCTCAGCGCCTTCCCCGAGCAGTTCTCCAGGCCCTTCGACCGGCTCACGAACCTTGACCTTTCGTCGAATAAGATTTCGAGTTAGTTTTTTTTTTCGTTTTTTTTTTTTTGGGGGGGGGGGTGTAGGGGTGTGAAGGATTTTTTGTTTTATTTTGTTTATTCATGTTCTTATCATTCTGGTGTATTTGTGTATTTAATTTCATTTAGTCGTTTTGTTTTGCTTGTTCTATTTATTCTATTTAATGATTGATTTGTTTATCATATTTTATTTTTACTTGTTCATTTTTTATTTTTTGAGAGGTTGTTGTTGTGATAAAATATTTATTGTTATGAAATGTATTATATAGGATAAAGTTATAGTTAGCTGCATTCAGTTACAATAATCATTCCTCACAAGTCATTCATATCGTTTGATAGGCTTAAATTATCTCTGATTTTACACCACATTGTTCCTTATGAATATCATTTGACCGAGTACTCGTGAATACAGTTAATTAAGACATGAAATTATATATAGCATTGGCACTCCACATACCACATAATTACATACTTTCAGCATATATTCCAAAGATGATGTAAGGTGAGTAAGATATATGATACACAAAGAAAATTACCTTTTCATATAAGAAGAGATTCAATAAAAAAGGAAGGAATCATACTCAATCACACAAAAAAATATACATAACAGTTCATGTATCAAGTGACCTTATACGCGTGACACATATGCCATCTTTACAAAGGGTTCCGAATCATATGTGAGAAATAATCATCACGCTAATCTATGAGTATTTTCAGTCACGCACAAGGAATATACAAGCACTGGACAAACCACATTATGAGCTAAGATTAACATTGCCAAAACTCATACCATTGGTTAAAGCGTTCTCAACCACATATAGAATATATACATACAAACTCATATATCATATATCTTCACAGTGGGTCTGTCACATATCAATATATATACATATATATATATATATATATATATATATATTATATATATATTATATATATATATATATATATATACATATATATAATATATATATATATATATATATATATATATATATATATATATATATATATATATATATATATATATACACATACTAATTTTTCTATATGATTCGTTCTATCTTAACTAGCGTCTCGATGACATATAAGAATATACATACCAATTTACATACCAGAAGGAGAGATGAATTGGACATTCTATTTTCGCAAAGGTTTTCAATGCCGTATTAAAATACATTCACGTACCAATAAAAAAGATAAACAAAACATCCCATCTTTGCAAATTTTCTGTCCTATCTAAAAAAAAAATAAAATAAATAAATGCATATCAATTCAAGTATCAAAAAAAGCAACAACACATCATCCCGCCTCTGCCGAGGCTCTCCATCCCATATAAAAAATACAAACATACCGACTTACATGCCAAGAGGAGAGACAAGGACAACCCACCTCATGCCCACCTTACCAAAATAACACATGAAACATACAAACATACCAAATCACATACCAAGAAAATAAGAGAACCGACGACATCCTCCTATCTTTACAGAGGTCCTCCGTGGGGCCTTCGTCAGCATGCCCCGTCTCCAATTCCTTGACCTGAGCAGTAATCTTCTTCATGCTTTCGACCCCAAAAACCTCTCCAGCTCGCTACTGGATCTCAATCTCGCAGGTATGTGGCTTTGAGGTTGTGTTTTGTGTGTGTGTGTGTGTGTGTGTGTGTGTGTGTTTACGTATATGTGTGTCTGTGTCTACGTACGTATACGTTTGTGTGTGTACCTGTTAGGGTCTACGGCCAGTACCAGCAAGTGCTTGGGAATGCAGAGTTACCACCTTCTGTGTGTGTAAGAGAGAGAGAGAGAGAGAGAGAGAGAGAGAGAGAGAGAGAGAGAGAGAGAGAGAGAGAGAGAGAGAGAGAGAGAGAGAGAGTAAAATACGTGTCTTGTTATTTACCTTCACGTCAGTCGGGTGCACTTCGCTTCACTTGCTGTCTGTGCGTCTGTGAGAGAGAGGTAGGGAGGGATGAAGAAAGAGAAAGGGAGGGAAGGAAAGAGAGAGGGAAGGCAGGAAGGAAAGGGGGAGGGAGGGAGGGTGGGAAAAAGGAAGGAAGGAGGGAGGGAGAGAGGGAGAAATAGATGGGAGGAGAGAGAGAGAGAGTGAAAGGAAGAGAGAATATGACTTAATTTCTGTGATTTTATTTTATAAACATATCGTCTCTTATCATATCTAACAATCTCATTGAACTGCAACTGTAGGGTCACACTTGAATAATCATTAGATGTTTGGCATTGTTTTCTATATGCGAATCCTTATTAAATTGAATAATTTTGATTTTTTAAAATAGATTTTGAGGCCGTGTCCCTTTAAGATTTATTCATATTTAATATATAACTACGTACCATTTTTAAGTGAAGAAACTTTATTATTTAAACATTGTTTACCTTAAATGTTTTTAGATTTATGGGTTATTGTTTGTATTTTTACTGGTTTTATTCTTACACTAATGTAGCCAATGTAATCACATGGAATAGTTATTAACTTGCTTATTCGACATTATGCATGATTGGGTTTACCTTTTATATGTAAATGTTTAAAGATGACATACTATCTAGATAAATAAAAATTATCCTTTTATTTCAATTCCAGGCAACCCTTGGTCCTGTGAGTGCGACTCCCTATGGCTGCTGAAGAAACTGGACGGCAGTTCCTCCCCAGCAGTCACGGCGCCGACATGCGCCTCGCCGCTCCACCTCCGCCACCGACCCGTGACGTCACTCAAAGGTGGGCTGGACTTAATTATCGAGTTGGATGCATGGGCACACGTGCGTGTACGTGGGTGTAATTTCTCTCTCTCTCTCTCTCTCTCTCTCTCTCTCTCTCTCTCTCTCTCTCTCTCTCTCTCTCTCTCTCTCTCTCTCTCTATATATATATATATATATATATATATATATATTATATATATATATTATATATATATATATGCGCGTGTGTATGTGTGTGATGGACTAGTTCCTCTTTTACAAAATATAAATTCTTTCAAAAAATGCAATACAAATATAAATATAAGTAAAAACGCATCAGGGGCAATGCCCTTGTCCTTCCCGCCTTCCTCACCCGCGCCTGCTTTCCAGAGGCGGACGTGTGCCCGGCGGAGGACACGGACAACCACAGCCGGGTGGTGTACGTGGGCGACGACGTGGACGGGGCGCTGGCCGACGCCCTCGACGCGCTCCACCTTCTCAACGTGACGGCCCTCAACCACCAGGCGCTCCTCGTCTCCTGGAGGGTCGAGGCCCAGTTTTACGCCTCCGCGCGCAGGGACCCTGACTCCGCGCCCCTCTCGTGGGCCATCACGCTCCGCCAGGCCGACGAGGACCCCCGGCTGGCGGGCCCCACCAAGATGCGGCTCGAGAGGTACAAGGCCGAGAGGGCCGACTGGGTCCCCGGCGAGTCGCTCTTCACGGAGGTCCTCCACGGGCTCGAGGAGGACACGCGCTACACCTTCTGCCTCACGCCCATCCAGGACCACCGCCTCTTCACGCGGCCCGACCACTGCCTCACCGCCAAGACGCTTACCAGAGCTCAGCTCACCCCGCCGCTCACTTCCACCACCACCACGACGACGACGACGACCCCTACAACCACTAGCGCGCCTCAGGTCGTGGCGTTCGTAACCGCCGAGGATTACGTCGCAGAGACGGAGAGGGTGGTGATCGCACGGGAGGCGCGGCGGGTCAGCATGTCCTGGAACGTCACGATCCAGCCCAAGGACCTTCAGGGGAAGCGAGAGGCCATGGTCCTTCGTCCTCTCGGCTGGAAGATCTTATACCGCCGCTTCGGGGACGAGAACGAGACGGAGGTGGTGCTGGTGAGCCGCGGCGGGGAGCCCGTGCAGAACTTCACCAACCACTACACTGTGGAAGGGCTGGATCCTGGCACTGCCTACGTGTTCTGCTTCAACTCCCTCACTGACCTACAGGTCGCAGAGTCTCTTAAAACTGATGGAGATACCGCGGTGAAGGACATGACCTCCGAGGTGCTGCCCCATCAGCATGTGCCCCGCGACCCCGACATCGTAAGGACCGCCGCAAGAGGTCGCAGCGTCCAATCAGGGGCCGAATCTCAAGTGGTAGGTGGCAGGAACCCTGCAGGCGCAAGAAAACCTCCTCCTCTCCCGCCTTCGCCACCTAGAGCGAACCAAGACTCACCGAGAGTCACGGCGCCCTTCCCCCGAATGCGCCGCCGCCGCCGCCGCCCCGCAGCGCCCAAGCAACAGCCCCTTCCCGTCCAACTTCCCCCCCGTGCCCGCCCTCCCCCGCACCCGAGCAACCGGCCCCCTCGCCCTCCCAACCCCGAGCCTGCACCACCTTCGTGTACACGAGCACGGGCCAGAGGATCGCTGTGCCTCTGTCTTCGGGCTCGCCCTTCAACCTGCCGTCGGTGGTGAACCCCAACTTCAACCCAAGGAACGTTCCTCCGCCGCCGATCCCTTCCCTGCCGCCCACGACGCCGCGTCAGAGGTTCATATACGAGTTCAACGAAGAGGAACGGCCGTCGGAGCAGTCCTTCACGTACGACTTCACGACCGAGAGCACGTCTACCACAGAGAAGCCAGAGGGACAGAGGTTCACGTACGTCACGCGGCGAAGGCGGTCCGTGGCGGAGGAAGAATCTAACACTTCATACATGAAGCTGCTGGAGTCGGGCGTGACGCAGTATTGTGAGGAGGTCGTCACTCTGAGAGACGATGACGTCATCACGCCCGTGGCCATTGCCACCACTGTGTCCACTTCCACCACCGTCGTCGTGGCCATCCTCTGCTGCTGCTGCTGGCCGAGGCGCTGCTGGCGGCGCAAGAAGCCCAGCTGGAAG